GTGATGTGAATGAGCGATTTTGCGGATAATCAAAAGTAGTATTTATTCCAATCACCCCATGTATGTTTTCACTAACCGACAATATTCATCGATTTTTCCTCAAGCTGTTCCCTCTTGGGCATTTCGTCACGGAAAAGTCCAAACGAAAAGATTGCCGGGTACTTGGAAAGAAGCTTCCGTCCCGAAGCGAACTTCGCGAAAGTCATGAGAAATAGTCCGATAATTGTCAGCCCGATGACGGCTACGAAGTTCGGCAGTCCTAAAGAGACAATGGATATACAGACACATTATCGGTATATAGTTATGAACCACAACGTACAAATCAATATGTGACGGGAACTATTTTCAAGTCGACATAAACCATCCCACATACTGAGGTAAGTTTGGATCTGCACAGGCTTGTAGTCTTCCACGCTGTTTTCTCTACGGAACATCTCGGATTTCATAATAACGGATTTGTCGCTACCGTAGAATGGAAAAATGTAACCAGAACACACATCGGTGGTTGATGCCAAACGCCTGAAATATCATACATGAATATTAATTAGCGGTATTACGCTGCTGTATTGACAAAAATTATGATTGACGTAGAACTATTGCTCGTTAATATTAGGCGAATATTTGCCATAGAGTCTCTCTCTCTCTCTCTCTCTCTAATCATAATAATAATAATCTACTGATAACGCATCAAATTAAAACAGATAGTTTTAGTTTGATACGTTATTACTCTGGTACATAATGTTACCTAATCGGCAGCTTGAATTTAGGTTTTTCGGTTTTTTTCGTAAACAGTTCCTCGGAAACCTCCTTTCGTAGTGGAGCTAAAGTGCCCCAGTTAGCCACTCCATGAATTATGCTGTTCCATGTACCAACGTTTACGTGACCACCCTGAAGCACGCAGGAAAATAACAGACTTGTCCTGTTATTATCTGCTTGCACAACGTCCGTTACAACAGTTAGCAACGTTTGATCTAAGCACTTATACTTTTGCCGTGTTTTGACAGCACTGAACTTGATTTTTTAAGCATTGATCGCGCTTAGCTTAATCCGAAACAACTGATAAAGTAACGTTTGCACCTAAATCTACGTGATGAAGAGGAAAACAAGAGGGCAAACTTTGCTCGCCTGGCCCGGAATCATCAGTTGTTTTTTTATTTATATGATGTTCGCTTGTATGGTTTTCTGATAAAATGCCAGCTTGATGAGGCACGGTTTTCCACTGAGTGTAAATTAAAGGCTTTAGAAACAGTTAATAGATTAGGCAAACTTGCTGTACCTCGACTCATTGCAGTATTAAAATCAAATTCTCTGGCCATTAAATCTACTTTGGCCGTTCGACAACAGCTGCTAAAGAAGCTTAGCAGCTAGACGCTAAAGAAGAGACAGACTTTCGAATAACAACTTCTTTCTCTGCACTTCCCAATATGCGAGCATGCATAATCGTGCCTCAATAACAGTAAAAATGACGCAATATCAGCGTTTTTTACTTATCATTACCAATATTTCATCTCTACAAATCAGAGTGTCCCGAAGTGAAACGATTCCGTTGTACATACACTAAGCGGCGATCCGTAAGCAACTTAAGGAAAATTTTGTTTTGAAAAAAAAAACAGTACTTTGTACTTACCTTAGGATTTTTGAAGCTTACAAAGGTTTCTACCGAATTGAGCCTTCCCCGAAAATTTTCTTTGGCAAAGTTAACCGCAAATTCGGCCGGAATAGAATCAAAACCGCAGGCTGACACTAGATAGATTTCTGTAAAATAAGAACGGCCGATTAATTATTTTCGGACCATATCCTCTAATTATACTGCTATTTAGTGAATACTGGTGACAGAACTTAAAATCGCCTGCTGAACATATTCATACACAGTTCAGGCAAATTTAATTCACGATCAACACAACTAGTTACGCCAGCCATATTTGCAGGAGTAAACTTTTCGTCAGAAGCTAAACTTCAAAATAATAGATAGGTATATTCAAGTCCTTAAAACCAGCTTTTTGACGACAACTTCCTATAATCTGCCACACGTATTATTCATGAAGCGCTGTACGCTGAGTTATTATTACTTTCACAACTTACTCTTAGCTTGTGCTGCTTTGTGATATTTGAGCTGCATCGATTCGATGAACCAGGGTTCGCCGCTCACGTCAACATGATTTGTTCCCTCGTTCACGCAGGCGCTCACTACAGGCTCCCCGTAAAAACTGGAAACAGTAAAGGACAAAACCTGCGTAACACACGTGGCAACGCAAGTATGCCGCGGAATACATGTATGATGGATAGATACCTGTTATCAATATAAATGAAGCAAGCTCGAAGAACAGAGCGACAAGAACGTCGAAATAAATTTACAGAAATACCGCAGAATTATTTACCGATATGGTCCCACAGTATTGACTATTACCCGAGCCGATTTTGCCATTTCGTGCAGCGATTCCGAATCCGAGACATCAGCGATAATCTTCGGAGTTTCGCGCGAGAACACCCCGGCATCGATTTTCATCCAGCCAGCTACCTCCTAAACACGCAAATAATGATATCAGATCATTATGCCGTAGCTTATAGTGGTCAGAACTTTAGTTTCAGTGTTTATTTTTGCATTGTAGTATTAAATTGTTTGAACTTATATTTACGCTGATCAAGTTGGGCCGATATTTGCACAATTATAGTGATTTTCAAAAAAAAAGAAAAAACGTGAAAATCAGCTAGGGATCATACCGAATGCCTTAAGGAATGCTATTACAACAACGACAACAAAAATAACAACAAGTATCAAACAGCTGTTGCAACTTTCTCTTCGGCAAATAACAAATAGATTTCAAACTAAACTTCCAGCTGGAAATATGTATAGTAAGATGAATACCATTGAAGAAGACATATCATACCTTGGATAATCAAACCTTACTATAGCCCGACCAAGGGGACAGAGTTAAGATACAACACAATTAATCGGTAACCGACTTTCCATTAATACAGCTATAGCATTCGGTCTTTGTCAGGAAACAAACCTTACGAAGGATCCATGGCCATAAAATCTGGGGCTGCCGTCAAGTGGACTCCGGAGCAAAGCGAGCGCTTTGCCACAGTTCTACTCAACCTTACACCCGATTATATAGTTAATACTGGCTAGCAGTTATTATGTTGCCTATCCATTTTTAAAATTCTTTCGTGACACACCAAGGGTTTCTCACAGTCTGGAGTATAACGATCCGCACTATGAAATCTATAACTCATATATATATATATATATTAACTCATGGCTACCCCTGTATCACAATATGAATATCGAACAAACTTATTGGTGATAGACTTAATGTTTAACTACTTCTGTAGAAGTAGTCGAAGGCAAATCTTCATATGTGCATATATCAGGTTGTAAAAGAGTATTGACCGTTTTTCTAGCTAGATAGCTTTAAACCCATATATCTCATATCACCTGTATTGATATAATTGGAAATCGATTTAATGGCAGTTAATGTGCTAAAAATGCACTCAGACTAAAGATAGAGCGATCCTTAGAGATGACGTTTTTTGTTTCGGAATTTTTCGAAAATATTTTACGATGAAAGTACAATTGCTAACCAGCGTTATAGAAAATTATGCTCTTTATCGTCAAAATGTGCTATCAAAAGAAACAACGTTAAAGAATGTTTCTGTAGCATTCTTCCTGGAAATTTCGACAGCAGATGCCCCTTATAGTGGTCAAGTACTTTGTAAGAAATTTATAAGTTGAGCAGAAGCGACGCGTGAGCGGCTATTAATATCGCCAAAGAACTAAACATTTATTAGTAAATAATGCTGAATTATTTACATAAAGCTGGCCACAAAAAAGCTAAATACTGGTGCATCACGAATTGAAGCAAAATAGTTTACTCGATCGTATGTCCATCCGTAAGACTCTACAGAAATGCAATCGCTTTGGGCTATTTCTAATCCGGTTAATTGCTCGTGATGAAAGGTGGATATGTGCGAATCATTTGGACTGAAGTGCATGTTTTTTTTTGTATTTATTTTATTAGCCCGGACTTATGCCGAAAAATAGATGCTCCGCATTTGCTGAAATTCGAAAGAAATTGTGTGCTGAGCGGCTGTCACCTATCATAAAACTTTGATCTCTGCTATCAAAAGCCACTAAGACTGAAACTAGTTAACAGAAAAAGCGTTTTGTTCCACTAAAACAACACCAAACCACATACATTTTTATCGAAAATAGAAGAAAAAGAACTTCGATGGGAATTTTCGTGCGTCTGCCGTTTAGTCCAAACATTGCACCATCAGACTTTATCAGCAGAACTCCTTCAATACTCAATTTAGTAGAGGCGCAATTGCATAGAGATGCAAAAAACAATTTTTCGCTTAGACGCCACGGAAATACTACGGGGATAGAATTATGGTATTACTAGAAACATGACAAAAAAACGTCGACCAACATTGCACATGTTTAATAAATATTATTTTAAATTACGAACAAATATTTGCTCTAATTTTGGTTTAAAGAAGACCAATGCTCGATCGAAAGCTTTTCAAACAAGCTTTTAACATATACTTAATTACAGAACGTAGTCAAACTGTTTTATAAACTTATACACAAGCGTATTTTCAACTTGGACATATACTATAAACATTTTTTTGCCTCGCTTGTTTAGACACAGGGAAAAAAAACTTATAGCAATCATGTCTTATTACAGCCGTGTCAAATAGATAGAGCTAAGGTGTAGCACAATAGTTCAAACGCTGCTACACTTGAAAGCGATGACAAATATTTGTATGATGAGTATTAATGATCCTTCATTACGGCAGATCTAGATTGATGTATCAAACATAATGCGAGACAGGTTCTACAGCCATGCAGCACATATATTGTTCAGTAAAAGCTCCTTTTATCCTAGGCGGACATAACGGGCATTCACTGTGTGGTGGGCGTACATTACAAGACTGACATTATCAGATCTAGGGAATACGTTTTAACATAATTATGATTTGTCTATAGATAATACATCTAACACTGGTTGTAATTACCTCTAGTGCTGCAATGAGTTTGCTTTCATTGCGCCCGGCAACCGCAAACGAGAGACCTTCTTCTTTCGACGCTTTGTACATTTGCTCCACTGCGTACCGACCTAAAAAAAAGTTCATCAACTGGCTACTATCAGTTTATAGTAGCAGCGACTTTACTGCCAGAGTAAGTTGAAGGGTGGAAATCGCGGTGCAAGCGCTCAAACATGCAAGCTTATAGTTAATTCGAAGTCGCGGCCTTACTATATATATGCGTATTTGGAAACATAATCCGTGTCAACTTCTACAGCATCAAAATATAGCTGAAGACTCCACTTCAACTATTTCGCTTTTCAGTTATGTTTAAGACAAATACTTCATACTAACTTTGCACAGTTCTTTGCACAGTTCAGGGATGCAACTAACGACTAGCCATAAAGGTTCATAATTTGTACAGACCTTATACGCACCAGTTTGTTGACTTTAAACAGCAAAAGGACTGAACAACTGATGACTGTACCTAGGTTCATGTGATGTTATGCCTAACGTTATAGGATTCCGCCGCGCTACAGCAAACCAATTTAATGAATATGTTATTCTGAGATATCGATGCGTTTTTGGACCATAATACCTTCTAAACCTGAGCAGTTGAAAATAGCGACAAATGATTGGCACTATGAAACGGAAACTTACTCCCACCACGTCGCAGACTGCAGGTTAGATCAATCGCTCATTTCGAAAAAGTGTTATCTACATTAAAGGGTGGGCTAAAGACTACACAGATTGCGCAGCGCACTGCCGAACCCGAATGAAGCATGGAGAAAAGGCGTTATGAGTATAAGACGTTGATAAATAACTGCAGAACTTACCGAGCTTTTGTGTTTTCTACAAACATACACGTTTTCATATGCATGCGTCTTCAAAATGAATACATACTGTATACTTATAATAGCACTGGAGTAAACAAGAATCAAACAAGCAACGAGAATATTTAAATTAGGTGTTGCCCACAAAGTGACGGTGACTGAAGTGTCTGAGATACACTAGAAGCTCTTATGAAGTATTAGTCAGCACCTTCTAGCAATGATTAATGTAGAACGGTATCAAAAAGATTCCGGTTGCATTCCGATAGCCTACGTTAGGTCACAGCCATTATCACTGAACGTGACAGCGAGCGATATTGCCGAAAGTGAATTTTTCATGCCAACAAAATTTTCTCATAAATAAAATCAAATCAAATAAACCTAATTACAGCTTAACATAAGACTCAAAACCACATACAAGCTCTTCTATAAATTAGTTTTAGAAACATTACATTTTCCAAATAAATTACTATTTGTACCTATTAGGCAATGGGTCAAGCAAGCCATGATTTATCGTATTGTTTAAATCTTTTTACATTGTGTCGAAAAGCGCCGAAAATAATTAAAGCAATGAATCGAATTGCATGTCCAAGTATACGTCATCGTTGAAAACAAGGACGCTCGAAATTGCAGTTCTAGAACGATGAAATATGTTGAACTTTCATATTGCAGTTCTGCTGAACTTTTTAATTTATGGACTTGTGAGCCGTGCTGTAATATAGCAAAAATATAGCAAAGAAAAGGCGAGACCGGACTGAATGCTAAGAATAATCATAGATGCCTTACCTTTATACCATATATGTATATATCTATGATTTATTTTGCACAAAACAGATGTGTTTTAGATACTGAGTGTGTACACAACACTATTACTCTAAAGTAAAGCACTAATCCTCACCTATCTCATGGCTACTCAAAAATGCATTTCAGTCGAAGAACGACATGCAGGCCAGGGTATCAAGCTGAACAACGATTTAGGCCCCAAGCCAACATCATTGCGTTTACTATATATTTAATATATACATTACTTTAAAAATACTACACAAACCGAATGAAAAAAAGAAATACCGTGGAAGAGAAATTAAGAATTTTGAGTTACTTCGAAAGATCATACCAGTTTGATTATAGCTAATTATGGGACTTGTTGACCTCTGTGATGTCTTCCCCAAGATACCTCAGTTTTTGGTGAATAACTAAATTCGGTTGTAACTCGGTGTTTACGAGCGAAATCTGGGCTTGTTGACTTCTATAAATTAATAACACTCATTACCTTGATACTTTTTAACAGCATAAATAAGCTTCTCAAACATACATAAACACACAGCTACAAAATTATATTTTTAAAACGTGCAGCTTTACACAAAAAGCCGTAATGATTACTTTCACATACACGCGGCGTAGTGGAAGCAGGTTTTTACTGAAGTTAGCTACTGGACATGAAACTAAGAAAATAAAGAAACTAGGGGACTATATTTTCTTATTTTGCCAATTGTACGCAACATTTTTCGTCACATACGAACGTGTTTAATCAAAAATACTAATCAAGTTCTATTGTTATACAAGTTTTGACCACCCACATTATGGTAATCATCATTAACTTGTCGTTAAATGATTATCATAAGTTTCCTTACGTGAAAAAATTGTTTTTAGCAAGACAATTTTTGGGAACTTTGTGTTGATAAAGTTATTTTACATTTATGTCCCATCAATATCTAGATCCAATTCATCAACATACCTGTATATAATGAAAAATCATAAGGAATGTAACGTTCTGTAATATCAACAAATTACGGTTGATTATTTACTTCTACTACTAGTATATCTGACATAACCCTATGTATATAAAATCACATACAACTTTGACAGACGTACCGGTAACTCCTGTCGCACCAAAAACAATAATGTCAAACTTTCGTGCCATGATGACGTTGCTTGCTGTCAAACCTTTTCGACTTCTTTTTCTGGAAGGTTGTACTGAGAATTTTCAGCGCTTTTCTGGCGACAGCTAACTAAATGAAGCACCGAAGCAGAAAGAACATACAGCAATGACGCGTCTGTCCCTACGTTTCACATCTAAAATATCTCCAGCATGGAAAGCATTGAACCGCGTATTGCAACTGAAGCCTTGGCGTCTACTTGCGAGAGCAACTAGTAACGTTCGTAATAGCTACCCATTGACGGATATGTGGAGAGAAGGATGGCTCAATTATCTACACTGAGACGGCTACACACATCCACAGTATCCACCTAATGTCTAGACTCAGCTGTTGGACGTGTGCGGAAAAGCATGATTTATGATTGGATGGCCGCTTAACTGGTGAGATAGCATATGGCGCCACAATTCAAATTTTTTTCCTAGTGGCTTGATACACTCTGTTCAGATGGAGACGTTTGCTCTGTTACAATTACCGAAAATGTTTAATATGCATTTTTATAGATATATGCGATGGCTGTTGTCAATAATTTTATGTACTAAGAGTGTTGCTCTATTGTCGAACCAGGTTATAGCGCGAAGATTGAAGCTATGCTTTATGAAGACCAGATACGCGTTCACACTTCACAATCAGTGATTAGCTTCTAAAACATTTACTTGTAAAATGATTTCACATGGAAGAATACATGATGTTCAGGGTTCGATTCATTTCTGATAGCTACATGGACGATGTCTTCACGATGGTGCAATGGTAACGTGTTTACTTATGAAAGTAAAAAAAACGGTGTAGATACACTTTGTTCCGTTCATGCTGGCAAGAGCCGGCGTTTTAAAGTAATGCTTAAGCATGACGCAGTGCCGCTATTTAGCTGTATAGAAAGTGGATGCGAAAGTTAGGTTGACAAACAGAATCTTTCAGATCTTTCCCGAAGTCAACATTCCTAAGGAAGGCTCCTAAGTTCGGTAATGATGTGAATGATCGCCGATCGAATGAGCAATTTAGAAGTCAAATCAATTTTATTCTTTTTAAATTTTGACGTACTAAACAAGTAACCATAAAAGCTAAAGAAATCACAAATGCGAAGATCTTAAAAGCAGAGTTGTTCTAAATTTGACATCCCTCAGAAAACGATGTACAACGTATTTTTCTAACAAATATTTAGAAAACTAATATGAAATAGCATTACAATATAATAAATAAACTTTACAAAGCTAGTCTTATTACCAGTCGTTTAAATCAATTACGTTGAAGACAACAAATGTGGGGATAAAAGTTTGATTTCTAAAACGCGATGGAATTAATCACCGCCTAACACTTCTGAATCACAGTCTTTTTAGGGTAAATATCCGAGCTCTAGTGTGTATCTCTTAACACGTAAGCACAAGGTAATGATGGAATATATAGTAAGACGTAGTATCAAATATAAAGATAAATTTTTGGTTACAATCATTATTGCAGACAAATTATATATTATGTACAACAGAGGATATTTTAGAATAGATCGCGAATATATATGTATATAATGTTTGGAACTTTTTGACTGTTATGGTGGCGATGGGAGATATTATATGACCTTAGGCTTACAATATACGATCTCCTAGCTGAGGCTAATTTAGCAGCATTAGTGAATATTTTGATATTCCAATTCCTAATATAAATTCAGTAACAAAAAAAGTAAATATAATTACAGTTCCAATTTGCAGCCCGTTTAAAAGGTATCGATCCCTTAACTAGAGGTATTGATGCTGAAAGGTTTCAGCCCTTGAAAAACAATTTAGTACGTGACTGTAATGAAATTTTACTGGGAAGCTATTACGTTCAAAGTGAAAAACATAATTTTCAGTTCAATATCAAAGTTACTATAGGAAGAGGATTAGATCTATAGATTAATTTCTAAATTAAGCTAGGCAATGAAGGTCCCACGTCTTATTTGTACAACTGATATTTCTGTATTAAAAGTCTTTGTCATTTAATACATTTTATTAGGAGACTGTTATTAAGGAAGCTCATGTGCGACTTTAAACTTGATGTTACATTCATTTAACCACTGGCGTAGACTCGTCGTCCCGAACCCAAAACCTGGAAGGATGTAGCCTTTTCTGTGATGATTTTAGAAAAGACGAAAGAACTGTTAAAAAATTCGCGAAACATAAAGCTTTCGTCTGTGCGTTAACTACGATTAATATAAAAAATTAATATTATTTTTATTATCTCAACACATTATTTATTTCGCATTTATAATATAGGTAAATGAGGAAGGAACCGACGAACTGATTTTTACTAGAAAGTAACAAAATCCCACAATACACTGAATAAACTAAATAAGGTGGTCACCAAAAAATAATGGATTTTGCACAAACTAATCAAATACTTAAACTGTTTGAAAGTATAAATTTACATGAATATATTATGTGAAAAGTTCAAAAGGATTGGAAATCGAAAATAAGGGCTTACATTCTTCATAAAACCCCCACGATCTTCACTTGAATACCGCCTGCCTAAGTTATTAAGGTATTTTTACACTACCAGTCCAACAACGACTTACCTCAAAAACATAAACATATTGCCCTTAAAATGCACAACGCGCTTTAAATAAGCATTATCAGAGCTAAATGAAAATAGGGCCAGGACTGCTTATCTCTACAAAGATCTCTTTTGTCTATAATGAGTACCTATTATCGTCTGAATGGCATCGTCTGACGAAAGCTGATATAGAACAGCTCAAATATTTGGCAGAAATGACTGGATTCAACTTTTGCACTGCGTCATTCACATAGTTAGCTAAACGTAATTAGATGATGTATGCGTCCATTGTTTTTAATACAGATAATAGGGTTGTGATGTAATTTGTACTATTTTTCTTAACTTTTGATGTATTTAATATGGCAAGGTGACATTTGTACTTACATAACTTGCTAATCACTACACTTAGACACAATTTCGTTGCCGCACTGGAAACGCACTGCTAATTTTTATGGGTCAAGAAAAAACAATTCTATGTCGTTTTTCCTTTTTCTCCGTTATGAAGTCGACACTGGTGAATGAAGTTCAACACGCTAAAAATGCTCTGAAAAATCTTCTACACTGAGCATAAAAAGAATAAAGAACACCCCCTAGATCAAAGAGTGTCAATCTCAAGAAATACAGAATACACAATAATTCACGCTTATCCTCTACACGTTGCCATAATCTGAATGCAGTGCAGTCAGCTATGTTTGGCTAAATAAATTTGGCTATAGATCGAATACAATAACAATACTCTTCTGCCATAGCATATCTGTAATATATACCGATGCTATTTAACAGATGTTAGAAGTTCAGAGTGCTATATGCTGTATGCTAAAAGTTCATTCCTATTAGTTCATTTTCTATCAGTAATTAACCATACAGAAAACGGTAAGCGTGCCATCGTATAGTTGTCAACTAAAAGGATCTTATATTTGTATGAAGTTTTCTTAAAATGTATAAAGAACGATTTTTTATAAATGATATAAAAGTTATTTTCGCTCAAGAACATTGTAGGAATATTTTTTTAAAATCTATTGTAAATTTTTTTTAATCTATCTATAACATTGTGATACACGTATGGCACCGGAGTTCTTCTCAAAATGCTCACCCACATTCTGAAGCTAGTATTATATTCACTACGCATTATCTTGCAACTACCACCATCGAAAAAGTCTCGACCTAATTAAGTTTTTCTTTTTTAATTTCGTAATTCTCGCCAACAAAATGGAAACTTGAATTCTGCAGAGATTAACTTAAGCCGTAAGTAGACACGGTAAATTTCTGTGACAAAAGATGAGGTGATACAATAATAAATTTTACCTTGGTAAATTGATTGTAAAATTTTAAATGCAAAGATAGCCTAACTTACACGAAAGGATGAGAAGCTAATTTAATGTATAAGAATTCTCTAGTTTTCGCATAATTTCAAAAGAGTTTGTTTAAAAAAACTTTTGCACCGGCTTGTTGCATAAAAATCTTTCCTGCTGATCAACTCATTTTTCTCCTGGCCTGTATTATTGTTGGGTGCAATCAGCAGAAAGCGATTTGAGACGTGACTCACCCACACAGGCGCTCACAATAGCTTTCCGGTTGAAGCCAACAAATCATACATAAGGCACGGCTGGTTCAAAGATGAATTTATTGATATAACACATTGGAGGATATCGTTATTGGCGATTCATATATATAATGTATATATATATATATATATATATATCGAAATAGGCCATCATTTGTTCCAAACTAATAACGAATTTCTGATTAATTCCGCTAAAACCTGGCTGGAACACATCAATACTTCTGTTATTAAGTAGAGATTCTGAATAGCTATGTATTTTGTTCAAAAAAAAAGCTTGTTACGCAACATTATATAGGAGGGCTTTACTACAAATACTACGAATTTGTATATTGTAAACTAAAGAAGTTTCAGAGCCATAGTTATTTTTCGTACGTAGATTAGCTTATACCTACGAATCAAGTTTTATTTTGCTTTTTTTACCATCTTATACAGCGATTCAGTATGAAAAAAATCGACGATAACCTTCAGAATTTCGTGCGAGAATCCGTCTGGATTCATTTGCATCCAGGCAGATGCAACCTGGTCTCCTCCAAGGTCGAATTCCTTGTATTTTTACTACAAGATTACAATGACTTATAGATAGATGACTGCATACGTCAGCATATACGTACCAAATACTCCTCACGTAATCTAGATATTTCTTAATGCCACTCAGCCATTATATGGCAGCTATTGTTTGTGGAGTTTTAACGAAACTTTTTTTAAATAGCACTCAAGAAAATAGCCCTTTTACATAATTTTCAGCAGACTGATAACATCTAGTTGTTTGGAGCTGCATTCAATTCTCGAGTTAGCGCTTAAACGCTACGTTCAAAGACGCTACACTGTAATATTTTCTTGATGACAAAGCTCTCTATAGTCTTACTTAAACATAGCTAAAAGAAAAAAAAACAAACAAGCGTAGTTCGTCGATGGCTTGCAAACTCTCGCAATAAATTTACTTTGTCTTAAAATAGGTTGCTCTAAACTACTCACAAATGGAAATTTCGCCGTTCGAGACAAAACGCAATACCGTGTGTATGGCAAGCTCTGAAGAATACTGCATATTATAAGCTTGTAAGGCCCGCCACGCTAGAGGTGAGCCCTTTATCCTTTGAAGCCTTTTATTCCATAGTTTAACCATATACTTACCTGAAAGAAGACCAGAATGAACATGAAATGCTGGCATTCGCAATGGAAAAAACGGCGAATCCGATCCTCTTTTAACGCTCAACGTCTATCTGATGAAAATTCATACATGAGAAACCTCGTATCAGTGGAGTTGCTTTTTCCTGGTCCTTAGGTGGTCTAGTTACCTAATTGTTCTTATGACCAACCCTTTCAATTTAGTGGTATTGAAAAACGATCTATAAAAAAATGTACAGAGTGTTTATATATACGCTGGGACTCACAGATGAACGAAAACGTATAATTATTTTCTGAGATGATCAGACTTAACCGGATTCCACACAGTATGTTCTCAGCAAGGTCAAATATTGCCTGAAATTGCCTTGTCTTAACTGTACAAAATTTCACGTAGATACATAAACGTTTTCATACTTTGAATCTACACACGTACGGATATTCTAGCCAAAAAAATTATTACAATTGCAGCTGTATGAGTGCTTCGATATGCAACGAAAAAGAATAAATAAATGCTTTTATGATTCTTTAATTTGTTTCGGCAAAACGTCATAACCCTGTTCTTTTACCTGCTTCACTGCAGTCAATTCATATGCTTAACAATGTCGCAACTGACAAATTACACCGCCGTGTATGTGGATCGCTACAAGCAATGCTCGCTTGATGCCTGTTAAAAAATTATTACATATTGAAAAAATTCTCAATTTCGTAAAGAATAAGCACATTTTTACAAGCCAATTGGCATTCATTTAAAAGGCCAGTCATAAAACACATTTTAAAAAGTTTAACTCACTCTTATGTATTTTTTACTTGCGAATGTTCGATTGTTTTAAATTCTACTTACATTTCTTTTTATTCCACTTTCGTTTAATTATACGGCGTTCTAATGCGTAACTGTACGTAAACTATGTTCCATTTGACGTGTCGTAACTGCCGATGTAAAGGCAACGTTTGACGTTGACAGGCTGTCTGCTAGCGCGGGAAAATTCAATTGTTTGTCCACCGTTTTTGCAGCTGGTCAAACGTAGAGAACTCGCACTGACCGGTAGCTTAATAAGAAACCTGATTGGAGGGAGATCGCAGTTTCGCTGTAATATAATATTTCAATAAATTGCTTGGTATTATGGTAGCGTCATATCTTCAAGTTCATTGTTTACTGTACTCTAAAAGATGAGTCATGGGCTGTTATTGTAGGCGGCGCTACAAACGCCTTCTTTTAAAACATATAGCCCGATCAGCTGTAGGAAAATTTTTAATCATCGGCCAATGAGTGCCAAGCGGCTTGCTATTGACAATCCGCTGAACTGTGTTATAGTTACAAAATTCAAAACCTTGATCGTGTCTAATGATTAACTTCTAAGGAAAAAATTATTTGTGACAGAACTGTTGTTAAGAGTGTCAGAATTAGATTCACCAACCTTGAACTTGGCAACTTTAAAAACAAAGCTTAGAAAATGGAAAATCCAGTTGTTAAGACCATGGATGAAGTGTTAGTAATAATGCAGAATATACTTATATTCTTGGATTATTTTACTTCATAAAGTAAGGGGAAGGTTATTTTGCATTTTTATTTGATAGGGTTTATCCAGTATCAAAAGCGACTCAAGTTAGCTTTGTTTTTGCACGATGACGATATTCATCGTAGTCCTAAAAGGCAGAACGTTTTTAAGATATCGGCCACCTTAATGAAAATGTAGATATGTTTTTAATGATATAATTATAACATAAGCTAATACAATTGTCCTGTATGATGCTCACTCTTGAAATTCTACTTTCAAGTAACTGGGGTTCGACTTTTGGTTATTTCAGCGCCGGGCGCGAGGGGATTATCGCCGTGGTCTGTGCCGACAATGACGGTTTTCCTGTACAAGGTTTGCGCAAATGATCAAATAAATTATACATCAAAATAGTTTGGGATAACCGACAAAGGGTATATTTTTTGAACGAATAATTTAATTTTCTAGACCGACTCGATTTCTCTATATTAGTTAAAAGAAGCTTACAAGTTTCGGGCAGATTTATTTGGATTGCATATATTAATCAATATGCGAAACGATATTGAAAAAATTATTACGGAGGATCGACAAGTAAAATGTTACTGCTGGAACTTCGTACATCGCTAACTTTTGCATTATTTTGCCCTTCAACTCATTCGTCCGTAATTTTTGTCATCCCTGTTGACGTTGCGCTTTTTAGTTCGTGGTAGTGTGCCGTCACAGGCGGCCGGCGTAATCACGCAAATGTGCGAGTTGGCTAAACAACTCGAACAAGACGTGAGCAGTACTCCTACAATCCAGTTGGAAACCGACAATATGTAAGTTTTCACAGCCGGATTTATGGTACGAGGTCTTCTTCGAACGGCAGCCAATTACAGTAAAGCTATACTGACTACCGTTTTGCTTCCACGCTACGATTGCTCTTAGACGACAGATTCCCTTTGTCGTGGGCTCATGCGAATGGCACTATAAAGCATGGACCCTTTGAAACACATCTATGTTTACCTTTGTAAAGGACCTCAGCTGACTGGGAAAGATCTATTCTTTTCGCTGAGAAGGATACAGTTGATAATTTGTGTACAAAGACAAATATACTGAGTTAATTTTCAGGTCAGCTTACAATTAGTGAAGGCTATTGTGGTGCAGACAAAAGGTTGGTTCTATTTTTTTGAGTTAAACTGTTATTTTAGTCACGCTAATAATAAAGACGGTGTTCGATTTAATCTGCGTTGAAACCATAAACTGACGATTGCGGTCGTTGCTGCGTCTCCGTTGAACTGCTAGAGATGGAATTCACGATGGTATCAAGAAACGGTTAAAAGGGATAAGCAACAGAGATTAACGTAAAGTCAACGTTATCTCTCCTTTCAGGAACGTGTTTATACAAAAAAAGGACATGGCGACAGTGGCAGTTTACCAGAAAAAGGAATAATGTTAATAAATTATTAACAATAGTATATCAGTATGTATTGCAATAAATAAGTGAATATTTTATTTCGAATAATTATCTTTTCGCGCTTGTTGGCTTGACAGATTTACTACCGGTTCATCAAGACAGTAGGTTGCTACTTAACAACGACGTCAAGATGACGAACATCTTGATGTCTTATTTTGATTATGTTCTTATAGACTACTTGGAAGGCATCCATTAATTGTTTTTGAACAGGAGTGCCATTGACAGCTAGTAGCCAAATTAGGTTTATTTCTGTTCAACCGGCATACGTCAAATGCGTTTACGTACTTCCTGTATTCTGTTCCTCTTCTAGTTCTATAAACTACTAATAATAAAATGATTGAGAGAATTTTATTGCGGGTCACGTCCTTAGTAGCCTTATTTACTAAATTAGCACACAGTTGGATCCTCAAGAAACAATTCAAAAAATATAATACAGTATTTATTTAGACGTATTATATTCTGGTATCGTTATTCATACTTACACGTCATACGTTTATAGCATGAACGGAAATTCAGCTTAAAATATGGGCTCTTTAATACTAGTCAGAAATTCTAGAACCGTAAAAAAAATACTTGTCTATATTGTACCTATCGAACGGAAAAGAAAAGGTACGCGGTGTTGCTCGAATCAAGGATTAGCGATCAGCCGTAATTTCAGCCAATGGTTTGCTTGTGTGTCCGTTATCGCTATTTAGAATATTATTAAGGGTCGTTTTGAGGCGAACAAAGGTGTCCTAACATTCTTCGGAATTCTCTGCAAACAATCTTGAATCGAAAACTTAAAAAATAAATACGGAAGGAACGCTTGCCGTCTTCAGTTGATTTATCAAAATTCAAAGGTTTTCTTATTAGCGTTGTTACTTCAACCAGAAACAGTATCGCATTTGTCCCTTAATTGTATTAGCTAGAAAAACTGGAGAAAACTAAATTAGTGGTGATCAAGAGCAAGAGCTCTTTTTGATAGAACAGAGAGGTGCTTAAACAAATTTCTGCTATTCTATTTGGGCTAGTGTAAATCTCAAATCATTATATATATATATATATCTAATCTATAATAATCCTATTATAGATTAATAACTTATATATATAACATATAGATTAGATAACTAATAATCTATAATATACCTATTATAGATTATTTCGGTACTGTCAATAAAATAATTTGAATAAGCACAGTAATACTTATTACAACTATTGCATTTTAGGCACGCACTAAAATAATTATATTTGTTATAGGAATACAGAAACGGTTCGAGGGTGCCTTGTTACAAACATGGTGTTGCGTGGTTACTTCTTAGTGCAATCTTTTTTCGGTACAACCTGCTACATCAACATAGGCCGAATAGAGACTCTTCAACTGTTGAGATACTCTTGCCTGATCCTGTACATTATTTCGTCTATAAAAAATCACCAAGGTTGTGTAGCGAGCATTTCGGATACGGTGAGATTATCCTGACTTTGACGGCAGGCTGTTGTAGAGATCTTTGCCTACTCGTGGCTCCAAAAATGGGGCTCAGGCTTTAAGCGGTTAAAAAGCTAAAAACCTTTGAGAGTTGGCACACTTGAATCCCAGATGTTTACAGGTTTAGTTGAAATACCATAACTATGCTATTTCTTAATACAATATCAAATCAAAGTGTACCAGAAAGCTAATCTCAAACCACGTTGCATTAGATCAAAAAACCATCACTGTAAAAATACGTTTCAGAAGTTTAACTATGATCACAAATACATAAAATTAGCCAAGCCTCAGCGATTATAAAATAAAATGAGTCGGTTTGAGAACTGAACCTTAGATACATATAAGAAATGTGATGTGACTTACCATATTGTAAAGTATATATTATGTTCTTAGGACTCATTTGCAAGGGATGCCCATCTTAATAGCGCAACGCTTGGATACCATTGTGTAGCACCATCCAGATCGTAATGCGAGTGTCATATTGTAATTACATTAAGATTATTACTCGTTTTCCTCAATATATTGACATGGATCGCTTTAAAGACAACGGTTGGATATCACGGCAGATATAAAGCAACTGACTGAATAAGTATCGGTGAAAGAGGTAGAATTATTAGCTTCTTAGATGGACGATGAAGTAAGTGCAATTTCAATATCCTTACAAAATCGTCGCAATAAACACATATTATGGATGCAGATATTTTACTTGTAACGAAATGTAAAATAAGAAGCATAATCATCAAGCAAAGTGATATCATCGTCGTCATAGATTTCTGTCACGTACGTTCTGCAAGGATCTGTTAAGGAATTAATCCAATGAACTAAAAGGCGCTTCTAACACTTACCATACTGATACATTTGATGCTAAAAGGCGTGCCTTACACGATAAGGTCTATTAGTGATTCTGTCTACCGCAAACTACATGTGATAAACAAACATACAAAGGTATCTTCAATAATTGGCCTGCTTTCGCTTAGACTTTCTTCGAAAAGCATATTGTATACATGTGTTTTATTTGTAGCATAATAACTAGCGTGATAACCTGGTGCGAAGCTAGGCTAGCAATAGTAAAAGGTCAGGTTCGATACCCAGCCGAGACTCAGTAATTTTTAAGTGATTTTCAGCGGCAATGGCTGAGTATCTACGTTGAGAGGCTTCAGCTGGTGCAATGAAGTTTTACAAACCTAAGTGATCAGTTAGAATCTCACGCGAATTAGGCTGCACATTGCGGTTATGACTGCTGTTACACAAAATATATATTAAATATATTTAGTAACTTTTTAACTTTCAATAGCTACTGCAATACCTCTATGGCTCACAACATTCCACATGGAATAGATTTATCTCACATGGAGTAGTTTTGTTTGTTTTCCATTAATAAATGAAATGATGATGAGGGGACATCAAAGATGCGCATCATGGGTTGCTGTGGGCTTTCTATACGTATTTTCTTTTTGTAAATTTGTCCTACTATTGGCGATGTTTTGAACAACTTCTATTTCTATAGTATGGGATTTGTTCTCCTAATTCCAGTCGAGTATTTGAGTTGCTTTTTGCAAGGGAACGTTGCGTTATTAACGACGTTGAGTGTAACTGTATCATTATCGACTTGACTGTTGCGTCAATAACATAATAGGTCCTCTTGCCATAGTAGCTGCCATTAGATAAAAATCAGTGTCCATACAAAAGATCATACGTTTCCAAAACCATACAAGAATCATATTTTATATCAGGATATCAGTTATATCAAAATTAAAGTAGGTTTTTTAAATAAATTGCTTTGACGGCGAACCGGAGATTATTATTGAGTTTTTATTTACTCAAATGTAACTTGAAATCACTTTAAAATCGAAGTTTTAAGGTCCATTGTTGCGGCATCTACGCTAAATTTTGAGATACCTAGGGCATCGATAACGCATTATTCTTCAATGGTTAGAAGTTTAAATCTTATTTTTTGGGGCCTTGTGGGCTTTAATGTGTCATCAAACTCAGTACAATCTGAGCCTATACAGGATTTTGGCTACACAACCTTGGCAATTCCATGTTTTCCATCAAATCACTTTTCTCTTTGTTTTCTGTGCTTTTGATTTCCGATATAATCATCTGTTGATTTTGCTTTTCGATTATTTTCTTGCTCTTAAGCATTATGTTTGTCAGTATGAATTTGCGCCATAGGAAGATGCATAGCGAGTGATAAACTGACGAATAATGCAAGTGCGATATCACGGTGACAGACGCGATTCGATATAAAGTAAGAACCTTAATGAACCCTTAACGAGAACTCATTCAAAGGTATCCTAAAATGTCCGCTCTGTTTGACTAAACACAAGGCTCGAAATGAATATTTCTTCAAATTATGTAATTTAGCGTCTAGCTTACGTATACAATAACGCAAAGATGGCCACCTTATTTTTGGCCCTCTGAGGTCTACCGTGCCTTTAACTTCAGCTAGTTCGGTAGCTAGTGAATTGAAAAGTTTCACGACGGCTTTTCCTGATCTATAAATCGAAATGGATCAATATTGAACTTTGTTTGATTCAACATTTTCCATTAATTTCGATGGTTACCAGGATGGTTTACTGTCCAACAATATTTATTGCGAAATTCGTTCATTCATTCATTCATTTTCACTCTTATATTCAATCCACATGGCACTTGATAGTGGTTATTTCAATCGAAACAACGGCATTTTTTATATGATAGTGTGTGTAAATGTATATTATTCACTATATCTTCTTTCTGTATAAATAGCAAAACCTACGTAGGTATTGACTCGCGTTGTGGCAATGTATGTTCTATTTTCGTTAAAAAAAATATCAGCTTTTGCAAATAACGAATTAGAAACAAAATTCGCAGTAGATACATATAATAAAATGGTAGTGTGCTATATTTATAATACGTTTTCTGTATTGATGAATGTAACTAGATCCGTATCATTTGTATTCCGTTTCAGACCTTGTGCCGGTTTAGAGAAAACTATTATCATAATTAGGCCTATCAAATTCTATCCGAAGCTTTTTAAGAATTTTCTGTTTCCAGTTTTCGATTTCCGTTCCTGTCGCCAATGTCCCCTTGGTCTTTTTATTTTGATTCGAGCCAAGATGACTCATTTGAAATTTAATCAGATTCAGTTACTACTCGTTTTGCGGTGATGTCGACCCTGTAGTCGAGCTTGAGTTTGAAGTTATAATATCAAATTTAATGTATTCTGAAGCAATGTTCAAGGACGTAAGGTGAAATAAGGTTTAATAGGTAAAATGGTTAGCACTTGGACTTAAAGATATGATTTTCTACATATATATATATATATATATATATATATATAAACAATCCGAAAAAATATTCGTATCCTAATTACAAGATGAGGAATATGATGATATTATTTGATAAAACAATGTTACTCGCCCAATATGATCTAGTGTCATGCTTGTGCTTTCAGAAATGATCTACATGGTATATCATGCTATGAACTTATCTCGCTGCTAAGTTATGGTCCAAAGTACATTCTTTTCCATGTATCACGCATCAAACTTCAAGCAACTTGACTAAGGAAGCATTTGAACTTCTGCCTTGTGACATTATAGCTTTATAATTGCAATATACAAATGCCGTATAACATACCTATGAGGTATTTGCCCCTACCTACTGCTATGAAACTGCTATGACACGATTTCGCCGCCCTTGGCGCTGGTTGTTCCTTGCATTAGCTAGACGTTGTCGCTTCTTCTGCAAGTATAGCAGCAGCGGCACCGGCGACGCGCCTCGTCGACGTCAGGTATGGTTCATCAAGTGATTGTCAACGGTGCCTGTTTTTCTCACTAGTGCTTAGTGCTTTATTGATCGATAAATTAGTAAGTTTGTATACTGTACATCTGTTCCGTGTCAATTTATCTTGAGAGTTG